CTACTTTGCAAACCACCAATACACGAAAATATTGTTAGCCAATGACTACAGTGTGGGGGGTGAGGTGGGGTGGGGTGGGGTGGTTAGGGGTTAGTAAAAGAACGTGTACAACCATTTGTTCGACGAAACAAATTAGATTTCTTCGTTAACGAGCGAGAAATCTTTTCTTCCTTTTTCTTTCTTTCATTCTTTCTTTCTTTCTTTCTTTTACTGCTGGCTTTTTTACCCTTTATTTTTATTTCTGTGTGTGTGTTTTTTTTTTTTCGTTCTTTTCATTCCACTCCTCCTTTTTCTTTTTTTTTTATTCCAGACTAGTACTACTACTAGTACTATTACTACTACAACGAGTGAAACGATAGTCTAACAGCTAGGTAAAGGCCGCTTTGCGAACACGAAAGAAAAGCTCGCTTCATTACGGCGAACGTGAATGAAAAAAAAAAAATAGTAAAGGGAAATAGTAAAGAGAAAAAGAGATATAAAAGAGGGGGTACAAGAGAAATAGAAAGAAAGAGAGAGAGAGAGAAAAAAAAAGTGGAATACAACGAAACGAACTACTCATGAGCGTTATCGATTTAATCAATTATTTTTAAATACTAATACACGGATAAACGATTGATAGACAGTATGTGTAGTAGACGTGTGAATATATACGTCATTTAATATTTTACTTTTATACAAATATATATATGGAATTATTTTTATTATTAGTCCAACAATTTTGCGAGATATAAATTATATACTTCAAAGAGTAAATTATAATTAAATAAATTAATATTTTCATGGAAAAAAAACAATAGAAAATAATATATATATATATATTANTTCAAAGAGTAAATTATAATTAAATAAATTAATATTTTCATGGAAAAAAAACAATAGAAAATAATATATATATATATATTAAAATTATTAGTTATATATAATGTATATAATAAAATTTTACTTATGTATTTTTTCTGTTCTTCCAAAAACGTGTGTGTGTGTATGTGAGTGTTTAATTATTTCTCCTTATGACCTAAATGTTTCATCTATTAAATATACTTTAAACGATAACGTATTTTTATTTATTCTTTTTTTAATTAGATGAACTCGATGATAATACGTAATTGAAATATTTCGTCGAGTATTTGTTCGATAAAAAAAAAAACAAATCTTAAATACGATTAATAAGCCGATATATGATAAAGTATGCCAATAACGTCAATTAGGCAAGTTTAATGAATAATCGGATTAGCAAAAATACGTATTGTATCGTGCCGTTGTAATCGTCAATGAGAAAGAGACAGAAAAGTGGGAATTAACTGAAGAGGGAATTCGAACAATTCGAAAAGTCGAATCAATTTAATAACTAGCATATCATACGTTTAATTGTTACTCAAAGCTCCATGATTTCTCTTTCCTTTATTCTATCTCTCTTTCTCTCGAAATCAATATTCATGTTAATCGGTTGTCCGAACGATGATTTTCCGAATTTTGTCAGTATAATTAACGTTTATTCATTTTCGTTAATATAATTCTAATTAAAGTCCGTGGTTGTATTACCTAATAATCTCTTTTGTACATTCAAGCAATGTAACGTTTCGTTAGAAATATTATTTCATAAATTGTATCTAGAGTAACATTCTATTCTAACATATCATTTTCACAAATCTAACACATTTGTCTTTCTTATATATATATATAATATAAATTACTAATGTAAAAGAGAAAATGAAAGATATTATTATCAAAAACGCATACGAAACGAATAAAATAAAATTATATTTCAGAGAAAATAATAATATACTTTATATTTTATAAAAATGAAAGAAAAAGTAATGAATATACTTTTAAAAGTTTTTTTTTCTTTTTTTTTAAAATACACATGTAAAGGAAAAAATAATAATATGCGTAACTATTAACGAAAATCTGAAAAATTATATAAATCAAATAAAAGATTGTTCGTGTATCATAATTTAATTGAAAAAGAAGAAGAATAGAAAAAAAATTACATCGATACAGGATTGTATCGTTATCGATCGCGGTTCGGTTGGAAACCACATAACAAAGTTTGCTATCGTCGTTCACGTTGGTTAAAACGAATGAGACCACTAGCCCCCTGCCGATTTTCAGGAATGACGTTCGCCATTTGCTTTGGGAAAAAGAGTAAAGTAGAAATAAAGAAAGAGAGATAGAGATAGAGAGATAGAGAGAGAGGAACAATTTTCCTTGAGTTCGGTACATTTTCCAAGCTTACGGTTTTACGATGAACTCATCTAACATACGAAATTATACTGCTTCGTCCCCCCATTGTCCGAGAAACCAACTCCTTTCTCTCTACATCATTGAGTTCTTACGTTCGTAGAATCGTACATATATATACATGCACACGTATACATAGATATACACGTGTGTGAACACATAAAATCGAAGAATACTAGGATCTGCTTTTTCTTGGTCATACTATTCGTTCGTATTGAATCTTTACTCAAAAAATAAAACGATATAATGTTAAATATTGTACATAAAATTGAAATGAAAATGGTATATAAAAAATATAAAGAAGATGGGTAAAATGAAAAAAACAATGTAATTTCAATGATTATTCGATGAGTAATAATGATTAAGTTAATAATTAACAAATAAATGAGAAAAATAATTCGGGAAAGAAAAATTGATGAAATGATAAAAGAAAGAGAAGAAAATTAAATATGAAATTTGTTAAATAATTGAACGTAAAATGATTTAGTTAATAATTAAACGCTATGTCGGGGATATAGTAAAGTTTAAAAGATATTTGATCAAAATTCAAATTCGTCAGATTATTCGACGTAAAATGATTAAATAAATTATTAATCGAGAGAAGAATTAATATATTATATATATTCACAAAAACAAATCTGTAGAAAATAAAGAAATAGAGAGATGAATATGTGAAGAAAAAAGATAAAAGAACAATTAGAATTAATATTCGTAGAATATTATTCTATGAAAAATATAATCCAATGTTAATAATTAAATACGAAAAAGATGATAAGAATGAACATTGAATTTGAACAAAGATACGAACTTGAAATAATATAACACGAATAATGGAAAAAAATTGTAATCATGATATATGAATAAAGATTAGAATTACAAAATTTGTATAAAAATATTAAACGCGATTAAGTTAATAATTAAATAAGAGAGAAATGTGTGCGATAAAAGTGAACATTGAATAAAAAAAAAAAAACGCGTTACGAAAGACCTATAGTAATATAACAGGAAATGATGAAGCAAAAATATTGGAAGGGATAGAAAAATTAGGATTAATGTAGTGTATCGAAGTAATAAAAAA